AGGAGATGATGCCTCCATCTGTGCAGCAGCAAACACAACCTGCAGATTTCCCACATCAGCCTAAAAATTCACAGGCATGGAGAGATGCCCCTTCTCATGTCATGCCCTCTGCGCCTCAGGCACAGAGATGCACAGGTGACAAGGGCACCTCCAGATCTCGAAAATCAAACTTCCTCTTGTGATCCTGGAAGTTTTTCTCTCAGCTCAGGCCCCTGGCTGCTACTGTGGAGCCGTATCTTCAGTGCATCCAGAGAGAAAGGTTCTAAACAGCGCTGTGTGGGAGGGTTAATCATTTATCAGTCAGCACAGACTTTGCACTACCAATATTTTCCTTTATGCCAGTCTGGGCGTCTGCTTTCATACGTGCTTCTTGCAGCTGTGCCAAACAGTGGTGTTTTGTTGTGAAATACTGATGAATTCTGCAAGGATGCCACTAATTCTGCTTCTTGCCCAACCAAAAGTGAGAGCCCAGGGGGAGCGTTCAGGTGCAAAGCAGCACCTTGATGTTACTGAAACATTTGCCATTTTATTTTCTCTTTCTTGATGTTTTCTTTTACAGATCCCAAGGACAACATTGGCTATAAATTCCTCATCCCATGGATCGGTATGTATTCCCTGGGCTGTGCCTTCCATGAATGACTCTGTTGTGCTTGTTCCTTGCTGCAGTTCTAGCTGAAAGCTTCCTGAAATTCTTACGTCTATTGAAAAAGGTATTAGGTAATGCTGGATTTTGTGATTTGAGGAAAGACAGTTCAGACCTCGTCATGGTCCTTCCAGGTGGAGGGTGAGGCTGCAGGCAGGTGAAAGCAGCCTGCCTGTGCCCAGCACAATGTGCCTTGCCTGTGTTTTCCCAGGGAATGGGTTGCTGATCTTACATGGGCCAAAATGGCACCAACATCGAAAACTCCTGACTCCGGGGTTTCACTACGACGTCTTGAAACCATACGTGGCCCTGATGGCAGAGTCCACAACCGTGATGCTGGTAGGACTCCCATCTGATGCTCCTCTCTCTGTCCTGTATTCTTTTCCCTGACCCTGACTGGTTAGGAGGGAAATGCTGGAGCAGAGTTTCCTTGCAGTGTCCTTACTCACAACCTGGTAGTTGTAAGGTCAGACTGTGGCATTTGAGGTTTCTGAGCCACAAGGTATCTCTGCCCATGGGCTGGAAGGAAGGGGCAGGCTGAGCCTCCCTGCAGGGATTGTTTCTCTGGCACTGCTTTGGGCTTTGTGGCCAAGACTTGAGGTTTAATGTTACTGCCACCCCCAAAGTGTGCATAATCTCAATCCCACCTGCAACTTCTTAAGAGGAATTTTTCTAAATGAAATATTGAAGTGAATATAAGTTCATAATAAATCCCAAAAAATACAAAGGTTGGAGAAGAGCTACACTGTGACCTAAGGTTAAAGGGTATAATTTGCTGTCAACATACCCATGACTGGGTTGCAGTCCCTGCTTTGCCTAATACACAGAGAAAATGCCCTGTTCTTCTGTCCATCGGTGTAGGGTGGAATTGAGACCAGCGTGGATTACAAGTGAGGGGCACCAGGCTTCGTGCATGTGATCTGGCAGGAGACCGGGTGCTGGACCTGTTCCTTTGCCTTTGCCTCATTCATCCAACCTTCCCAGCAGCTCCAAGTAGATCCTGGTTGTCCTTCCTCCCACAGGGAACATCCAGGATTCGGGAGCTGGAGGGTCAGGAGAGCTTTTGCAATGCATACCAGTGCCTGGCAGTTTATAATCCACGGTGCAAAATGTCTCTTGTGGGAGCCCTTGCCACCAGGTGGCAATCGTTGTCTGTGCAACGGACGTTAGTCTGTCCATATAAGCCCTGTTCCCCAGCCTGTTTTCATGCCGTGGGAGCTCAGATGTGACTGTGCTCCTCCATCTCCTCCCTTACTCAGATTTTGAGTCCACTGGTTCCCCAAAGCCAGGAAGAGACAGAGAATTCAACATGATTTCATGTCTACCAGGCAAGAGAGACACTCTTCATAATATCTCTAGAGATCCCATATAGCAAGGGTTCAACAGGAGCTCCTATGCCATGTGCTGGAAAAGCTCAGTGGGAGAGATCATGCAATGGAAGCAACAAGCAAATTACTAGAGATCATGCAAAACGGTCCCTTGCCTTCTCATTTCGTTCTCCTTTGTACCCTAGGATAAATGGGAGCATCTGATCACAGATGGAAAACCCGTGGAGCTGTTTGAGCACATCAGCTTGATGACGCTCGACAGTATCATGAAATGTGCCTTCAGTTGTTACAGCAACTGCCAGACCAACAGGTCAGTGCTGGCTGCCCCAAACCCTGGCAGGAAGTTTGTCACTCAGGAGAGAAGCGGGCAAATTGCTTGTCGTGATGATCCCAAATTTACCAACTTCCACCATTCCAACCTTCTCCCCAGGAAGAACTCCTACATCCAGGCTGTCTGCAGCATATGCCACATGGTGCACCAGCATCTCCAGATTATCCCCTACCACAACAACTTCATTTTCTGCTTTAGCCCCCATGGATTTCGGTTCAGGAAGGCCTGCCAGATCGCTCACGACCACACAGGTATTCCCTGCCTTCATCCTCTCCCAAAGCTTTTGAGCAGGGTGGGTGATGGCTGAGCTGGGGCAGGAGAGTTACCTCCTTGCCCATACGGTGATCTTGCCTGGAGGCTCAGAGCTGGGACCCAAGCAGAGCTTCAGCTTGCAGCAGCGGTCAGATCTCGGCATGAAGCAAAGGGGTCTCACAGCTCCTGAGTTATCAAGCTGGACTTATAGAGGAATCCACTCTGGAAAGTCTCCCATTAGACGACCAGAGACTAGTGAGACAAGGAATGGTGCTACAGGCAACACCAATGCAAGGTGTGGTATTCCTGTCCAGTCCAGGCATGATTGTAATGCAGAAGGGGTGGATAAATTAGGCTGAGGAGTCTGTGGTTAATGAAGAAGTCAGCAGAAAGGGATGGGAATGTGCATTTGATGCTGAAAAAGCCAAACTGACAGGGATGCAGAAGTCCATGCGTGAAATGAATCATGGAGTGAGCGGTGGTCATCCCCTTGGGTCAGCTTTGCATTGGCAAGGCAACTTTGCAGCTCAGCATTACACGCCCCTGCTCAACCTCTAACTCTTTCTTCCCCAGACAAAGTGATCCAGGAGTGAAAGGAGTCCCAGAAAGATGAACGGGAATTTGAAAAGATCCAGAAGAAGAGACATTTGGACTTCTTGGACATTCTGCTGTGTGCCAAAGTGAGTGGCAAAGAGTGACATTGGTAGCCTCTGTTGGGAATTGCAGCACACAGAGGGATTTCATTGACTCGCTGGTTTAATTTGGTGGGAAATAAAGGGGTTTATAAGCAAAGAAAAAGAGGTCCTGATTTCAATCTAAACAGAGCTTGATTTTGTTTATATGTAACCCAGGGGCATCACCACCACTCTTCACAATACCTGAAATAATATAATAGTCACTCCCTCGATATTACACATTATATATATATAATATATATATATCTGGGCCACTATAATAAATATATTTCTGTTTATCCATATGGGCCACTGAGAGTATCTCTGGACTGCTAGGACGAGAACGGAGC